ACACACTTGAGACTATGATAATGAGACCATGTGATACCCTTCGAATGTTTGTAAGCCTCAAACCCCTCAGATCAAACCCTTATAGTAACGCTTGCTGTAGCCGTGTAGCCCTTGTGGAACACTCATAAGAGCTCAATGTCACATGTTCTGACAGCTCCTGCCGAGGATGTCGACCTTGCCCTCATACTGGACGCCCAGCTGCACGCGCGGCTTCTCGCCGAACTCCTCTCCCTTATAGGCCTTGCCGGTGAGGCGCAGGTAGCTTCCATCCCCAAAGTCTACACGGGGAGACGCCATCGCGATAGCCTGTCGAAACTTGGAGTTCGAGGATCTCATCTCGTACTTTGCATCGATGCCACGGAGCTTGCTAGCAGTCACCTTCACTGAGCTCGTGAGATCCCCGGAGGAGTCGTAGGAAGCGAGACCCATAACATCCACCTCCGGAACCTTGGCCGAAGTCAGCGCCATTGCGGCGGCCACAGCCGGCCGAGATGCACCGAACTTGTAACGGCTTTGGAGGGCCAGGGTGGAGCCCTTTGCAGCGAACTTGGGTGCCAGGGTTCCGAGGTCTAAGGTGACACCAGTTCCCAGGGGCTGCACATCCACGCTGCCACGCGAGGCGGACGCCTTGATGCTGCTATCAAGCTTGACGCCGTCGGCTACCTTGCGCTCGCCTGTCCACTCGCCATAGCCTGCAACGTCGTACTGCCCCTCTGTGTTGATGGTGCCGACGAGGCCGAAAGCTGTTCCAAGCTTTGCTGGCGCTTTGACCAGGCCCTGCAAGCCATCCTTCGACAGCCGCAGAGTGTACTGGGGATCCGTTGTGAGGATCTTTCCTCCTTGCTTCGAGCTCCAGCCCTCCAGGCGACCTTTCATCACTGCCTCCCAATCCACGGTGGTAGTATTCTCTTGCTGAAAGTCTGGGAACACAGCCGCCCTGTATTCCGTATTGCCGGACGCATACTTCGCACCGAAGCTAGGCTTGATCCAGGTGGGCAGGAAGCCCTCATCACCTGAGCGTCTCTTCATGTCCACAGCCACAAGACCTGTGACTCCTCCACCGAGTGGCCTCTCCGCAGCAACCGTGGCATCATAAACCATGTCCTCGCTGTTCCCGGAAAAGGCGATGCGCTGAGGGGCACTGCTACTCCTTTCCACCTGCACCGTCCAGTCGTAGTCGCTGCCCTCCTCGTCGCCAGTGGCTGCAAGGGCAACGCGTGATCCATAAGGAGCTTTGTAGCTACTCCTCGCCGAGTCGTAGTTCACACCATAGACGACGCTGCCTCCATCTTCCCGCGCGGCAAAGAGTGCCGTGGAGCCGTTGGCCTCGGTAGCCCTCACCTGCCACTGGGGCGCTCCCTGGGAGATCGTGTCCACAGCGAACTTGGAGCCTGCGATGCGGATCGCATGCGGCTGCTTCCACACCTTCACAGCCTTCTCGAGCTGATCCTTCGCGTCATCGCTGGCAAAGCCCAGGCTTGATGAGTAGAAACACAAGCAAGCTGCAAGCACGGCCAGAGCTACGCATCGTCGAGGTGATTTGCGTGCCATGGCTTCTCCAAGGGCTGCAGAGCGACAGTGACGAGTGGAAACAGAACGGGCAGCTAGAGCCAAAAGAGCCACTGTCTCAAAGCCGTCATTCAGGCACTTCTTGATCGCTTTGATTTACTGAGGAACATGACTTGCCTACTTTCAGGCTTCCTTCTACTGCAGTGTACCATGCAAGACGACCGAGTGCCCTGACATCGTAAACTTTGTAGCACATGTTCGAGCTGGGTCAGCCACGCAAGTCAAACGCGATAACTTGAAACTGTACGAGTATGATGGCCATGCAGACCACCCTCTCCCGCCCCCCAACCCACTTTGCCTGCCCTCGGGCGTCATGACTGACAGGTCCTGTGAGGTGAAGGAGTCCGGGCAACAGGAAGCCGTGGATAGAACATGATAGAACCGGCAGGGACATTGGAGAATATTCTGGCTCTATACACTCCATGTATGTTTCCAGTGCATTACCCCACAAAGCCTTCTTCCAATTATGGATCCCCTCTGGTGATCTTCACTGTCATGGCTGCAGGGCCACGGAGCCTTAACATCTGTTTCGCCGATGGACTATGGCATGCTTGCGACAAGGGCATGCAGGCCATGACGAGATGGGATGCTAATGTTGAAGGTTGGCCAGAAATGTCTCAAGGCTTGCGCAAATAGGCCGAGAGAATTCAGGATAAAGTCTGCCTGCAGAGCGCGGTGTTGATCTGTCCAGTCTGACGGGCACCGGATGTATACAGCCTTTTTCAACCATTTTTCCCAATGCTTCTCTAGCTTGAACAAGGCTTCAATCCGAACCACACCCAAACCAGGTCTGGGTACCATCCATTTTCCCACATGATGTAATCTATCCTCTAACAAGAAAGCAGCTCGAAGCCTTGAGATACTTATCCAGGTCGGGATTGAAAAGTCCTCAAGACCAAGTGTCAGGTCTGAAACCCTCGGGCCCTTTTCCAGCGGGCTTGAGGGGTTAAACCTCGCGCCCTCCTACCAAAACCCATTTTTTGTAGGTTCTTGTTATACACCCTAAAACGTGATTTATAGGGACCCTACCAAAAAGTAGGTTCTGGTGGAAAGGTAATCCTTACCCACTCGAACGCCTCCACCGACACTGCCGGAGCCCCTGGTGGAGGTGGCGGCGCTGCCCGCGCCGGCGCGGACACCGAGACAGCCTGGGCCTCAGGACGTCCGAGCGGAGGCCTTTTGTAGTATTCAACAAGCTCTTCTGAAAGTTTTCTAAACTTCTGCCAATCATGTTGGCCTCTAAGACTCTTCAGGAATCCCCCCGAAAACAGGTGGGGAGTTTAGGGTCAATAGGGCTTCTATAATGCTTCCAGAAGGTATGTAGACCTTCTATAAGGCTCCTATAACGGTAACTACCCACCTGAAAATGTCCTAGACTTGACAAAGAAGCAAGCCAGAAATCCACAAACGCAGACCCTGTAGGCCCTAAACCAAACATCTTAACCCAAAGCTTTTGACCCAACATCCTGCAGACTCAAACCCCTTTCATCAGACACTAAGGCCCTAGACCCTAAACCCAAGTAGGGAACACAAGCCAGACCCCTAAACCCTTAACCCCTTGCCTAAACCCAAATAGCCCCAAAGCCCTAAACCCTTAAACCCCTAAACCCCCTGCCTAAACCCAAATAACCCCTAAACGTCTAAACCCTAAACTCTTAAACCCCTAAGCCCCTAAACCCCTAGACCCCTAAACCCTTAAACCCCTAAGCCCTGACCTGGAGGGCTGCGAGACGGTTGGCAGCCACGCGCCATCCCACGGCCTCCAGGGCTCCGGTTTGGGGCTCTGATGGCTTTTTGTGGCCGTAAAGAAGGGGCCCTAATACTTAGGCGGTTAGAGATGGTTTAGGGTTTACTTAGGCGGTTAGAGTTTGGGGTTTAGGGTTTTTTTGACACTCACACTCGGACAAGCCTGGCAAGGTCTGTACCGTTACGGATTTAGGGTTTAGGGTTTAGGGTTCGGGGGTATAGTGCACTATAAGTACAGTAAGGTACCCCCCAAAACCCTAGTCTAACTGTTCAGGCCCCTACATGAGGGTTGAGAGCTTGGAGGCTTCAGGGCCTTTGAGTCTTGGGGCTCACGTGGAGGTGTGGTGTGTGAACGGCTGGTTTGGGGTTTCAGCTCGAGCCACTGGTCCTACATTGTCCTACATACAACCTAAGGCCTGAGGTACTTAAAAAAATCCACCCTCAAGACCCTAAATTTAAACCCTAAACCCCAAAACCCTAAACCCTACTTGGAGGTTCATGGGTAGTTATCAGTGGGACCCTACTTATAACCCCCTTTATAACCCCCCAAAAAAAACCACTGAGAGAAAGATCCGGGCTTCAAGTTCTAAAGCAAACACTGTGGCACTGAACCGTATGGCCTTCTGCGGTAGCAAATGCCTTTTAAGGGGCAAACAATGGGGGTTTCCGAAAATAGGGGACCCTAATATAGCATCCTAAATACTAGGATCCTTATTATAAGGACCCAAAACAGGGCGCCCCTTATTTTCGGAAACTCCCAATAGGGGACCCTGATATAGTACCCTAAATAATCGGATCCTTATTATAAGGACCCCAAAATAAGGTACCCTAATTTTCGGAAACTCCCAAGTCTCGCCGGCCTGTTCGTATGCGGCTACGGGGAAGGTGAGACTCGCCGACACTCTCTCAACGATCATGCGCAACCTGATCTGCCGCGGGGGCTCAGGCTGTTTTAAGGGAAGGGCTTTTAGGGTTGAGGGTTCAGGGTTTAGGGTTCAGGGTTTAGTTCAGGGTTTAGGGTTGAGGGTGCTTCACAAGATTTTCTGAAGTTCTCATAGGCAGTTCCACGCTCTCCCTCTCTCCCTCCCTCTCTTCCTCCCTCCCCAAATCCCGATCCGTTGGGTCGAGCCTGAAGGCTCCTCTGGGACTTACTTGGAGGTTCATGGGTAGTTATAAGTGGGATTATACGTCCCCCTAAGATGGGTTATAAGTATAGTTACCATACTTATAACTCCAATGATAATTACCCATGAACCCTAAACCCTAAACCCTAAACCCAAACCCTTATAGTAACCCCAATTATAACTACCCATGAACCTCCAAGTAAGGCATGTCAACATGAGACTCCCCGTAGCGCCCGGCACACGGACCAAGGCTAGAAATTCGGGGAAGCTTCGCACCTGCAAGGAATCTCTTCTCCCCAGAGACTCCAATATCCCTTAATTAAGGAATATACCTTAAATTATAGTAGGGATCCCTACTATAATTTAAGGGTATATTCCTTAATTAAGGGACATTGGAGTTTCTGGGTCTTCCGGCTTCTCAACCCTAAGCCCTTCTGTTTGTTCCCTCTCGCATGGCAGAGAACAAGGTGTTTAGGATTTGGGCTTTTGGGGGGTGTGTAAGGCCTTCAAAGGCCGTGTTGATTTCGACAAGGACGCCTGTACACTGCCCTGCCTTTCCGGCTAAAGTGTGTCGGAAAACCTGTAATCTGCATCCCTCGAAACGAATTTCCCCACCCACGGGGTGTAAGCCGTCTCGGAAAAGTGCGAAGCGAGATACTGCATCAGCTGTCCCAGATCGAGAGCACCAGTGAAATAGGCGGGAGCCAGCAGTACGAAAGGCACTACTGTGCCATACTCCTCGTACCTGCCAGGAGTCTTTGCAGGTCTCACAGTCTCAGGGGCTCGAAAGCTGTTGTCATCCGATTTCCGGATTTTGCGAATGAGTCGTTTCTCCCCTAGGCTCTTGTGGACCTACACATGGTTCAAGGTCTTCATGCCCAACACACCATAAGAAGGTTTCACAGGGTTGAAGACCGCGGACCAAACCAGCAAAGACAACTGCAGGAACCTGTGGACAAAAGCAGACTGTCTACACTTCAACAAGGGAACCCCAACATGCATATTCAGAAAAGGATTCCTTCTTTTCGTCCCCGATAACAACACTTAAGGCTTAAAAAAGGTTTCTTGATTGAGGTGTCTACATAAACAGAGGAACTCCAACATGCCTTGAGTGAAGGATTCCCTGGGATTGTTGCTTGCTTCAGGGGCTGCAAAATTTCTTATCCCAAGAGCAATCCATCGATACTAGTTCTGAAGCCTATAGACCAGGGTTGGCTTCTTTTTTTGAAATGTGGGGCTGTCGCAGCTCGGGCGCATCATCTTGAAGAAGTTGAGAAACCTCAGCTTCACAAAGACTACATGATGGCTGTACAGAACCACAAACAGGTGAGAACGGATCGGGTATGTGGCCCATTCTACTGCAACTGTGTCCTGCACCGCTGCCACGGTCGAAGACCTACATTCGTTCCTTAAGGATGCAGTTCTGCGTGCATAGAGCATCGGGAACCCCACTTTCACAGCTGCTTGCTGTGCTCGCTGCGACGAACCGCAACTCGAAGCGCTAAACCCGCAACTCGAAACCCGAAACCCCCCCGAACCCGATCCTGAACTCAACCCTCTTGAGGAGCTTCGTGATGTCGAACTCTGCGTAGGCCACGCGCTTCATCACCTCGAAGCGCTCCTGAATGGTCCTTCGTAGCTCCCAGAAGGCTGGCATCCCGAAACAAGCGAGCAAAGAACAAACAGGTGCAGTAACTAACTAAAGCAACGGGAAGTTAAAGGCTGAATAGGGCCTGTAGAGTTTTGGGCTCTGCTCCTTGGGGTCCAGGGTGGCGGGGTTTACGTTTGCTCAAGCACGAAACGGAACCTATACATGTCTCAGTGTCTCAAATGCTTCTCAACGCGCACCCGATTCTGCAAGACAGGTTCAAAAGGGTTTCTTCATCTTCAAACAGCGCGGCTTAAACCATTCACTCAGCATGCATGCCCCAACCAAAGCCCTCCCTCTCCCACGCATCTCCTTCCACAAACAGCTAGCTAGCTGCCTACTACCGGCCGACCGACCGATTTACTTGTCTCTTGCCTGCCTACATACCCCCTAACCTAACGACCGACCGACCGACCCAGGGACCGACCGACCGTGCGAGAGTGAGACAGAGAGAGAGAACATAGAGACAAAGAGTGAGAGACAGAGAGTGGTGGGGGGATAGATGGTTTACATAACATACCATACTCCCTCAATCCTACTGCACACTTGAATCCAGCGTCGCCGCGAGCTGAGGACCTGCTTGCATCAGCGCCAAGCTCTCCGCCTGTGCCATGAAAGCACCGGACGGCGATACAAGTGATACTGATGATGGTTCATGGAGTACATGTTGGCATCATAGTTAAGGCTCTAAGTAAAAACCACTAACCTTTCTGGAACAACACATGGAAGGCGTTGTAAGGCTCGACTGGTAACAAATGGTACCAGTATCTGAGATATCTGGTGCATGGAACGAACAACAAAAGCAACCACTTGACCTGAATGGTAGCTCGTGATCCTGTAGCAGCGCAATGTAGGGGCCTTAATAATTAGAATAGGATTTTGGGGCCCATTATACTACAATTATAATCGGGAACCCCCAAAATACAAACATGACGCCTACGATCTTGCCGAAAATAGAGCCCTTAATGATTACAACGTGTTCGGCAGAAGGACTGCCAAGTCACAGCACTCAGAGTTGCTGGAGAAAAGATTAGTTTAGTATCGCAAACACACCCCCACCCCTAAGAAACACAAAACAAACACAACTAAAACTACAAACACAGGTTGTGCACAGGCAAAGCTTTCACCAGAAGCCTTTTGCACCCGTCATCAGGCAGCTGCCTCTCCACAAGATGCACAGTGGTGTACTGGTCGTTTCGCCCCTCAACTGCGACGGACCATCACTGGCGGGATAAGGTGGGGCCACAAGAGCTCTCGAGTGGGTACAAATGGCTCTCAAGAGCAATCACAATTTTTGGGGGAGTCCTTATTTTAATTATAGTATAATGTACCCCAAACCCCTGCTCTAATTATTAAAAAACCCCCATATTACGATCCTGGCACGTTATCTCCGCAAGTGCGATGGGGAGCTCGGGCCGCCGCGTTCAAACTGCAAGCGACCCGCGGAAATTTCCAGAACCCAAGCTTACTCCGTGGACGCCTAAGGATCCGAAATAAACACTCAGTTCTCCGAATAAGAACAACTATACATATATATATATATATGTAACTTTGTTTATTATTCATTCATTTACTTATGGGGAGAGAGAGAGAGAGAGCAAAACCAAATGGACAAGCCAAAAGCTCCGAGATTGGGCTCAACCCGAGCTCCTCATCGCACCGCAATGCTTTCAGAAAACATGGACACCCCACAAGCATCAACGATACTCAGAAACACAGAAAACCCAACACAAACAGCCTGAAAAGGCATACTAGTTTGGGGGCTCCGAAAATACGTCGATATTAAGCGGATATATATATATATATATATATGTGTGTGTGTGTGTATACATATATATAGATAGATAGATAGATAGATAGATAGATAGATTATGGCATAGCCTTAGACCCGACACCCTCATGTCTATAAAAGCGCCTTGTCGCGCGCGTGTACGAGCTCGGACCTGAAGTTGGCATTCGCCGACTCGCCGGCGAGGGAGAGGGGTACCAAACTGCGACCGAGCCTCGGGTGCCAGAATAAAGTGTATACAACAGCTCGGCCACCAACCGTCATGCATATATATATATATATATAAATAAAGACACACACACACACAGACACACGCAACTGATTTCGGCGATATAGGTTCATACTTATTTTGTGCAGTATGCGGTCCAAGTTCCTAGTGAAGTCACTGCTACTACGAGTAGGGCTGACGACATAGTACCCCACAAGATCAGTTAGTATATCTATGAACGTGTGTATAAATCAATACAGAAGCAAATAAACAACAAATAAATTAATCACATATATATATATATATGTATGCATATGAAGATATATGAATGTATACATATTATATATATGTATGTCTATACATGCGTGTGTATCTACCTATATTTCTATCTTTGTATCCTGCACTACATCTATCGATGTCTATCTCTATCCCTATCCTTAGCGCTATTTATTTCTCTATCTCTCTCTCTACATGTAAATATTCTACAATATGTACAAAGTATGTAAGCAAATGCATATGCACACACACACACACATGGAAGTAGATCGTTTTTTACCAGCATACTGCAATTTTGTACTCCTGTACTTGCCTGTAAACATGCTTTAGGTTCATGCTGTTGTGGGCTCGGGTAGCTCGGGTTTGGGGTGCAACTGGTTCTGGTTGGGTGAGATCAGCACTACTTTTCCGGGCTAGATGAGCAGAAATTGAATAGGGGCCTGGATGTAGGTTTTTTTCAGTGTTGGCAACCCAAACCAATCAGTGGCACAGGAATCAAAGCAGAAGCTCCAATAATGCGATGAGCAGCTACCTCCGAAACGGAAACCCCAGCCCGGAAAACAGCTCTGCTGATCCAGCCCAGGTCTGGCCCATCTGAGACTCTTAAGGCGCTCTCAGCTCCTGAAATCATGCAAACAGGCTTCGCCTCGTTCGCCCCAAAAGACTCGGAATGTTGGGCAGGTTCTGGGGGCCTACGGTAGGCTTTGCGTTCAAAGAGTCGTGTAGATGTGGCGCCACTCGGAAAAAAAACCGAGCAGCTTGTGGGTGACAACTGCACCAAACACTGGCCAAACCAGGACGAAGCCTCCAAGCTGCCAAAGTGGTCTCTGCCGATATACTCTTTCTGCCTAAGGTCTTCCATCTACAGCTGCGTGGATCAAGTGCTTTTGTGCGAGCGTGATGATTACGCAAGAAGGGCAGGCGGATCGGGACAGGGATACTTGGAGGTTCATGGGTAGTTATAAATGGGGTTATAAGTAGGGTAACTCTACTTATAACCCATATTAGGGGACTTATAGCCCCATTTATATCTACCCATGAACCTCCAAGTAGGGATTCGATTCAACCGGTCGGTCGCTTGCAAGTTTTGTCTTCAACAGCGCAAACCTGCAGAACGGATAGGATGCTCCAAATTAAAGAAGGTTCTTGCACCGGGGTCACAGGGAGAGGTCGCTAAGCGCGGCATCTCAGGTTTTCGGATACAGTTCTTTCGCTAGCACGGTTCTATATGTCCTACCTGCCTATCGACTATCGACCCCTCCTCTGCCCGAACCTCCAAGGCACAATGCCAAACCCCGAAGCGGCCCGAACCTGCAAAACTGAAAGTCCTCACTTCTCCGCTCCCCCCCCGGTGGGCCTAGCAGGGGTGAGGGCGCAGAGCGCAACAAGATCGGGAAGTAGATGGCCAGCCTCACTCGCGTCGTATTATGTCGTGGACGTCGTAGCTCGCAGCAAACCCCAAAGGCTCTACTGCTACGGTCTGATGCTGCGGGGATGCATCGCTGCCGATATCGTTGTGGCTTAACCCGGTGTAAGTCATGATCATTGGCAGGATCACAATTTTCTTGGCAGTCGCCTTTTGTCGTCGTCATATCCTTGCTGCATGCAACGACTGTGGTCGTCATCACCATAAACATGGTGGTTGTCGTCATTGTAGAGTGGTGACGGCTGTATTTAACATGCTTTGTCGCCATTGCAATGTTGCTATGAATTTCAGTAGCCGCAGTAGCAGCAGCAGTA